ATGTCAAGAGCTTTGTAATGTTGTGAACAACCAATAAAAAAATAAAAAATTTAAAAAAATAAATAAATAAATAAATAAATAAATAAACAAATAAATAAAAGAACTGATTTCTCAAGATTTCCCAGGGTAGTACTCATTCTACTGTTTGTTACTTAGATTGAATTATGAAACAACTTTTACTACATTTATTTATTTGTTTGTTGGTTGGTTGGTTGGTACTGGGGATTGAACTCAGGGACACTTGACCACTGAGCCACATCTCTAGCCCTATTTTGTATTTTAATTGGAGACAAGATCTCACTGAGTTGCTTAGCACCTTGCTGTTGCTGAGGCTGGCTTTGAACTCGAAATCCTCCTTCCTGGGCTTCTGGAGCTGCTGGGATTACAGGCATGTGCTACCATGCCCAGCTCCATTTGAGGATCTTGATCTTAGGTTTGTTATCTTGTGAAGGATCTCCTGAGTGTTGATTAAAATGTTATTTGGGGGCTGGTGGTGTAGTTGAGTAGTAGGGTGCAAGATTAGTGCATGTGGGGCTGGGGTTGTGACTCAGTGGTAGAGCACTTGCCAAACATGTGTGAGGCCCTGGGTTTGATCCTTAGCACCATATATAAATAAAATAAGATCCATTGACAACTAAAATATATATATATAAAAAAAGAAAAGAAAGATTAGCACACATGAAGCTCTGGGTTCAATCCCTAGGATTCTACCCCCTCCACCCCCGTAAAAAATTAAAAGTTGATAAAAGAGAACAAGGTTTTGCTTCCTTTTATGTAGGAATTTTTTAAGAGCTGGAAATTTTGCCTAGTTCTATTTCACTCTCAATTTTAATAGTTTTTAAATTTTTATTAGAGATTTTCAAAAGTAAAATTTATTTTCTTTTATCTCTAGGTGTTCTCATCTTTTCTATGAGTTTGACCATCTGTAATGATTATTGGCAGCTAGTAGTTTAATCATTAAGTAGTAGAGAAGAAACATTAATTAGGAGAAAATGTCAAATCTAAAAATGAAAGAGGCAGCCCTTATCTATCTTGACAGAAGTGGAGGTCTCCAAAAGTTTATAGATGATTGCAAGTACTACAATGGTATGTTCAACAAAGACGATTTATGTTAGAAACTTTCAAATAAATTTCTACATATAACTATCCAGACTTTTACATTTGTGTATTTTCAGATTCAAAACAAAGTTATGCTGTCTATCGATTCAATATTTTAATAAATCCTTCTGATGTTGTTGAATTATATGCTGAACTTGGAAATCACATTTTACATCATCCTTTAAAAGCTGCTCAAGTTTTTCAATCAGTAAGTTAAAGAAAGAAATACTTTTATGCCAATACTTTTATTTTTCCTAACTTGTGTGTTTGTTTGAAATTACAGGTCTGTTTTATTGCTGTTAAGACTCTCTCATTAATTGGACAATTACAGACTGAAACTCAAGTAAGTTTAATTCACTTCTTTTAACATTTTATTTATTTATTCTAATTTGTTATATATGACAACAGAATGCATTTCAATTTATAGTACACTTATAGAGCACAATTTTTCATGTCTCTGGTTGTACACAAAATAGATTCACATCATTCGTGTCTTCATAGATGTACTTGGGGTAATGATGTCCATCTCATTCCACCATCTTTCCTACCCCACTGCCTCCTCTTGACCTATCCCTCCCCTTTGCCCTATCTAAAGTTAAGTTTTAATTAACTTTAACAAAGAAAACTCAGATGCAAACATTCAAGATGACTTGTTAATTTAATATTTTTATATGCATACTTTTTTGTTTGTTAAAAAGTATAATACATTCTTCAAAGTTCAATTGAACATCCTTTTTTTTCTTTTTCTTTTTTTTTTTTTGGTGCTGGGGATCAAACGCAGGGCCTTATGCATGCAAGGCAAGCACTCTTCCAACTTTCCAACTGAGCTGTAGCCCCAGCCCTCAATAGAATATCTTAAATATGCATTTTTATTTCCTATATTACCACTTATACAGTTAAACATTTTTATAATAAATCATTTCAAACATACCCCAAAGGAAAGAAAATAATTAGGAAACTCTTATATATCTGTCACTCAAATTCGGTGTTTTAATATTTTATCATATGGCATCTTTTGGGGGGAGTGGGAGTGGGGATATGGGACTAAATCTAGGGGCTCCACACCACTGAGCTACATCTCCAGCCCATTTTATTTTTTATTTTGAGACAGAACCTCACTAAGTTGCGTAGGGCCTTGCTAAATTGCTGAGTCTAGCCTCAAACTTGTAGTCCTCCTGTTTCAGCTCCCAAACTGGCTGGGATTACAGTCATACACCACTGTGTCTGCAGCATCTATTTTTTGTCCAAAATATTTTAAGGCAAATTCCAGGTGTTCTATTATTTTACCCCTACATACTTCAGTATCAACTAAATATTATGGACGTTTTTTCTACATAACCACAATGCCATCATTACCCCTTATGAAAGTAATAATAATCCTTATAGTCTGTACTTAAATTTGTCCAAAATTACCCTAATGTCTTTCAGTTAGTTTGTTAAAATCAGTATCAAAACAAAGTCCACTCATTGTAATTGGTTTTTATATCCTACTAAGTCTCTTTCAACCTAGAGCCATTCCTTTTCCCTCCCTTTTTGTACTATTGATTTTCTTTTCTTTTTTTTTTCTTTTTTTTTTTTTTTTGAGTACCAGGGGCACTCAACCACTAAGCCACATCCCCAAACCTATCTTGTATTCTCTTTAGAAATAGAGTCTTAATGAGTTGCTTAGCACCTCATACTTGCTGGGGCTGGATTTGAACTCATGGTCTTCCTGCCTCAGCCTCCCAAGCTGCTGGGATTACAGGCATGCACTACCAAGACCAGCTTGTACTATTGATTTTTTGAAGAAAAAAATTTTGAAGTGTTACATAGTCTGGATTTATCTGATTACTCTCTTTTAAAAATATATATTTATTTTTTAGTTATAGTTGGACACAATACCTTTTTTTTAAATTTATTTTTATGTGGTGCTGAGAATCAAACCCAGGGCCTCGCACCTGCTAGGTGAGCACTCTAGTGCTGAGCCACAACCCTAGCCCTTTTTTTTTTTTATATACCAAGGATTGAACTCAGGGGCACTCAACCACTGAACTGCATTCCCAGCCCTATTTTATATTTTATTTAAGGACAGGGTCTAAGTTGCTTAGTGCCTCGCCATTGCTGAGGCTGGCTGTGAACTCTATTTTTTTTTAAATTTATAAACATATTTAAAAAAAATATCTTTATTTATTTTTATTTTTTTAATGTGGTGTTAAGGATGTCAGAGGAAAGCGCTACCACTTGAGCCACATCCTCAGCCCTGGCTTTGAACTCTTGATCCTCCTGTTTCAGCTTCCCAAATTGCTGGGATTACAGTCATGCGCCACTGCTCCTGGCTGCTTTTTTTTTTTTTAATGTTCTAAAAATCTTTAATTTTTATATAGCAGGTTCATAAAGAATACTTTATAACATTAGTAATAATTGTAAAAATTGCTTGAAACAAATTATTATGAAATTTGTTCAGGGATGCATAATATGTATAAAAATGAGTTTATTTTTCTTTAACAAGTGCTTCTTTCTGATATACCAAAAACATATTAAATCCACGAAATACAAGAGTTTAATCTACATCTGTTGGTTGCTTTAATTTTTCATTTATAGACAAAATCAAAACCTTTGAAACTACACTTTTCATTATAAAAGAATCAAAGTATATCTGTAATTCTAAAATACCATCAATATAATGAATTCTTCTCACAGACGACACTAAAACATGATAAATATCTTCTGTACTCAATTTGAGGTGCTGTCATTGAATTAATTATAAATGTCTATTCTGAAAGATGTTGCAATAAAGTTGGTAAACTAAAATATTGATACTGTTTTTTTAAATTAAACTTATGGAATATCTAGAAAGTAGGTTGAATTAGAACCTGTTGACAATTTATAATATTCTTGAAAAATAATTTTGAATGACAAAGAAAGCTACGGTTTTACTATAAATTAGGAGTTTTAAAATTATCTTCCTTTGGTGCTTTCAACTGTCCCTTGGTCATAAATTGAAAACTCAAATAATTTCAAATAATCATGGATACTATTTAGGCAGAATCTCATGTGTACTTTTAAGATTGTATAAATGGAATTATAACAAAAAGACAACTATAACAAGATGTAGCCCCTCTGATTCATGAATAGCACACTATCTTCCAGTAAACTGAGTTTATATTCCACCATCAAATGTGGTTTGCCCACTAGTTCACTTTGAGATGGATCATTAAGAATATCTGCAAATCTAATAGTCTTATCATTATCCTTCAAAATATCCAGGGCAAGGTTTGAGCTCCAAAGAAATGGAAGGCACTGAACCTGCTGTACTGCCTTAAATTCCATTTGTAATTTCAGAGAAGCAAATAAACCTTGGATGTTTCTCAGAGTGGAAAAATTCATTTTATCTTGGTTGAACTGGAAATTTTTTTCTGATAATTTAAGAGGATGACTGGGCAAAGTTTCATTTTTCACACAAGAAAAACCTTTCCAAAGAAGATCATGACTTTCAAAAGGCCCACTTGCTGAAAGTTCTGAAACTGAAATACTGTCTTTTCAGTTGAGATCCAGGTCCTCTGGTATTCATCTTCTCACCACTCAGGGAACACTGTTCAGTTACTGTCAGTAGGCCCTCGCAGATTACTTTCTTGTGGTACTTTTTCCCCCGTATCTTATGTATCTAAAAGAGAATTTTGCTTTAAAGACTTAGATTCAGATTTATCCAATTTTCACCTATTTTAACATAGTTCCAAATGGCACTTTATCAGGAGGCTATAAAGTTGTCCCACTTTTGGCAATATCACAGTTCATCAATGGGTTTAGGTTATATTATTCTGATCCCTCCATTACAGACTTTCTCATTAACTTTCACCTGATGGTTTTAGAAAAATTAGAAGCCATCATTTCACATGGATTTGCAAAAAAGGTGATTTTTCTAATTTCAGCATCTTTTCTGAAATTATACAACAAAATTAATTTTCTTTTATCAAACTATATGATTATTCTGAAATATGATTTGTACAGGAAGAGTAAGATAAACTGATTCTTTTTAAGTTTCAGACAGTAAGGAGGTAAATTCACCCTCTAATTATGACCAATATTGTTTTTTTCCTTTGTTTAAATGAGAAACTCATGAATCTTTAATATATTTTATATATTTTAATGAATCTCTGTCATCATTTTGGTTCTTATAATATTATATCTTTAGGCTTTAGGAGTTCCTTCAAGTTTGCTCCTATGTCCTTTTGACACATGCCATTAATTTTTTTTATGACTCCCTTAGTTTCTGACATAAGATGCTCCAACTGTATCTGGTATATTTTCTGTCCCAGACCTGGAATCGACCATCTCCCCCAAAGAGCCTTGTTTTTTTTAAGTGAGAAACAACCTTTGGAGATGACAATTTGGGTACTAGTAGTGTTCTTTGCTATTGGGTTGACATTATTTTAAAATTCTTTTTCAGTGGGCAAAGTCAGGACATGTATATTTTTAAGGAAAAGTAATGAGTTTATCATTAAATTTTATTTATTTTCAATTAAATATTAGATTATAAAATTTGTTTTTCTATAATTTTTAATCTCTTTGCTGTCAGTCTTAAAATTTTTGTTCCCAGGCTAACAGTGTAGCTCAGTGGTAGAGAGCTAGCCTAGTATGTGTGAGGCACTGAGTTCAATCCTCAGCACCACATAAAAATAAATAAAATAAAAGTATTGTGTTCATCTACAACTAAAATAAAATTAATTTTGTTTTTTAACACTAACAAATCATTTACTTGACTTATTTTACAATGTACTTATATGTCATAATGTATTTGCTCTGTGATTTTTATTAATAATATTCTTATGTTCTTATCAGATTAACATAGTGCTGAAATTAACACACTTACCTTCTCTGCCAAGTTATTGTCTTGATCTTTGTGAGTTTCCACTTGATTATACATCTCAGAGATTTTATATAATGCAAGGAATTGTGATTGCAATAACAACTGTAACCAAGTATACTCAAGGTGCAAGATTCCTTTGTTCAGACGAAGCATGTCCTTTTTCAAAAGGTAAATATTAAAATGTAAAATCAAAACATGAAACAATTTATTTGTATTCTTTAATCCCAAAACTTGCTTATAATTTGTAATCATTTACAAAGTAGAGTAAATTAGTATCTCCTGATGTTTATAAATTTAATTTGCCTAATCTTTGATAGAAATTATGTTTAGCATCTATATTACAAGTGCCTTAGCACAATGTTGGGCCAGAAACAACCCCGATGCAAGGAACAGTTAGTTGATCTACTCTGAACCTGAGTGCAAATAGAATTAATTATCCCTTAATTAGACTAATATTGATTGGAAGTAGGTATATTTGGAAGCAAGTTTAGTTTACCACTGTTGTTCTTTCAGGATTTCAATATGTAAGAGTACATGTGCCTGGAGCTACAGAATCTGCAACAATAAGAAATGATTTTTTGTGCAATTTGTGTTCATCTTCACTCCAAGAAGACAGAAAATTTAGAGTACTTGGTGGTAAAAATGCATTTACATTTTGTAATTATAATTTTCAAAATACTGCTGATATACGAGTTGAGGATTTAGCTCAGTGGCAGAGCTTAGTGATAGAGCTAGCACATGCAAGGACCTGAGTTCAGTCCTTGGCCAAGAAGAAAAAAATATTGTCTGTTATTTTAATGTGAAAACTAAACCAAATATATATTCAAATAACTAATTTGTTTTGTTCTTTTGCCCCAAGATAAACAGATAGTTGAAATAATTGCCACAGAAGCACTTCATGCTTTTCAAGGATATTCTAAAAACCAGCCATTTAGGTTTCAATCTCTTACAATTTTCCTAAGAGGTATGAAAATTCTATTTGTACTCAAATTTCTATAAAATATGGAATTGACTAATTTCTGCTTTATATTATAAATGTACTTCTGTGGATTAAAAATTGTCATCTTGTCTGGCATGGTGGTATACACCTATAATTTTAGCAACTCATGGGGCTGAGGCAGGAAGATTACAAGTTTGAGGTCAGCCTGAGCAACTTAGTGAGACTATGTCTCAAATAAAAAATAAAAAGAACTCAGGGAATGCCTTCAGTGGTTCAGTGGCCTGGGGTTCAATCCTTAGTACCACCCCACACACATGCACATAAATTGTCATCTTGAGAATTTTTTTTTGAAGAGTCTCATTTAGTTAATGTATCAATTGTTCATTCAGGCATACAACATTCACTTAAAAATATATTTGCACCTGCAATGTCCTAAATGTTATGCTAAAGTCTCAGGTCACAGTCATTTAAAGATAATGATCCTCCATTATTCTATGTGTATATGTCTTATGTTAATGTTGGGGTTATTTTAGAATGTAAGCTTTATGAAAATAGATGCAACATTTGTTTTTTATTTTGCATAGTAAAATCTCAATAACTATTTGTTAAATAAATGAATGAACATTCACAAATGACTAACTGCATCAGTAAGTACCCATGAGATGACAGTCTTGCCACGAAGGAGAAAATCATTGTCAGTCATCCAAGGAATGATTAAGTTTTCATTGAGAAGCCAAAACTGAAAATAAGAATGGGGCTTAACCTTTTCTTCTGGCTAAAATTGGATAATTTAAACTGTTCGGAAAGAGAAATACTGTATAGGAAACATAGGAGTTAGAAGAGTTGGGATTCAAAAAGAACTCTTTTCGGGCTGGGGTTGTAGATCAGTGGTAGAGTGCTTGCTTCACACATGTGAGGCCCTGGGTTTGATCCTCAGCACCACTTAAAAAAAATAAATGAATAAAAATAAAGATATTGTGTCCACCTACAACTAAAAAAATATTTTTTTAAAAAAGAACTCTTTTCCCCATGATCTAAGAAGGATGAAAGCCCAGACGATAATAAGTAATTTTTATATAGCAATTACTGTGTGCCAAGCATTCTTATGTATATTAACTTATTAGTTAGAGCAACCTATAAGGTAGATTCTGTTATTATCTCTGTTTTTACAATGTGGAAGCTGAGGCACAGAGGGGTACAATAACTTATCCAAGATATAATCACATGCATACAAGCCATACATTGCAATATAGAAATCTAAATTGGTATCTCTTATGGTTTAGCAATGAAGTATCCCCCTAAAAGCTCATGTGTGTGAGAATACAAGAATGTTCAGAGCTGAAATGATTAGATTGTGAGAGGTGTAATCTAAAGTGGATTAATCTGACGATATGGATTACACAGGCAATGACTGTAGGCAGGTACGTTGTGGCTGGAGGAAATAGGTCATTGGAAGTATGCCTTTGAGATTTATATTTTGACCTTGGTGAGCAGAACTGTCTCTCTGCTTCCTGGTTGCCATGTTCTGAGCTTCTTTCCTCTGCCACGCCTTTCACCACGATGTTCTAGCTCACTTCCAGCCCAGATCTATCGAGATGACAGACCTTGGACTGAACCTCTGAAACTGTGAGCCAAAATAAACTTTTCCTCCTTTAGGTTGTTCTTGTTAGGTCATTTGTTGTCAGCAATGAAAAAGTTGACTAAAATACTATTCATCTTGAATTTTAGTGGAAAACCTTTTCTCTAAACCCTACAAAGAACCCAAATAAAACTATAAAAATTAAATGAATAAAAGCAGGACTTTTGGATTTGACATTCAGAAAAGATTCCCAGACTTCCCAGTTCCTTTTCTCCCCCTTGACCTTTCCATGATCTCAGGATATAGCCACCAAACTGATTCCATGTAACTGTTAAAAAGTTATTTATTTAGAGAGATAATAGTCTCTATTTCATTTTCCTCTTGTAATTTAATCATACTTTTAGTCTTTTTGTTTGGTTGGTTAACCAGTTGTTGATTGATATGGGGTTTTTAGTGTTTGTTTTGATTTTTTATTTTCTGAGTTGTTGAGCCTGATTCTTCTTTTTCATGTCTGTAGGGTAACACCAGCTATGCTCTCTGAAGCTAAGAGGGAGGGAGATCACTGTTCTATAAAGAGAGACCTTAACCCTTGCTCCTCCTTATAAACCATTTTTTTTGTAGGTTTACAACCAATCAACTTCTAGCTATGGAATGGAGATTAATATATTTAAATTTTTAGCCAGTGTGGTGGTGCATGCCTGTAATCCCAGCAACTCAGGAAGCTGAGCCAGGAGAATAAGAAGTTTAAATCCAGCCTTAGCAACTTCAAGGCTCTAAGCAACTCAGTGAGACCCTGCCTCTAAATAAAATACAAAATAGGGCTGGGAATGTGGCTCAATGGTCAAGTTCTCCTGTGTTCAATTCTCAGTTATTACCCCCGCAAAAAAAAAAAAAAAGATTTAAATTAAAAAAAAAAAAAACATTGAACGCATGCAAAAGCTCTGCCCAATCTGTACGTATAAGAGAAGAACCTAGCCTAATGTAGAAGTGTAGACTTTGGAGGAAGGCTGAATTAGATATGAATTTCAATCCTGCCACTTTTTAGTTATTTAGTCTTGTGCAATTCACTTAGCCTCTGAGTTCTTTGTGTATCAATGGAGATAAGAATATCTACTTTACAGTTTATAATTACATAATATAAGTACTTTAAAAATATTATAGACAGTAAATGGTACCTTTTACAATTATTTTCTTCCCAAATAATATTATTACTTATAAGATCAGTATTATTCACACTGATTATCATTTAGTGCAAAGATATTTTATTTTATATAGAATGATCTTTTTTCTTGATTATGTTACAGGAGGGTATCTAGATGCCATATCATATGCTTCTTGAAGTTAATTCTTATTGCAGCCAAGTATCAAAATTTATCAGCAATAAAATTACCTCAGTTTACTTTATTGGTTCCATTACTTGTGAATATTATACTAAACAAAAGTAAATATTGCATTACTAACTCAAATGCTGAATTGTTACTGATTTGGGATTTTGAACCATATGATCATTTACAAGTTTCATTTAGCAAATATTATTTTGCTCTGTGTTTATCATTCTAGATGAATTAGTGAATAAAATGAACATAGGAAATAAATATAAAATTATTGGAATTCCAACCTGTGTCAAAACCTCACAAACTGCTGTCTGTATAGAGGCAAATAGCATCACTCTTTGCAATCTAAAAGGTAAGGAAAATCATATATTAGCAAACACTTAAATTTAAATACATTTGTTCAGCAAATATTTATTGTTTGCCTTTATTCTGAGAACTCATCTAAACAGTAGGATATGGATGAAAACAGGACAAAAGTTCCTGCTCTTAAATCATACAATAGATTGCTAATAAAATGTAAACTAATCAATAAGATAATTTCTGATAAAAATTATATGGAGGAAATAAAACAAGATAATGTACAATTTTCTGTCAGGCAGACCCCTTCCTTTGAGTTAAATATTATTTTGAACCTGGTAAGGTGGCATGCACCAGTAATCTCAGCTATTTGAGACGCTGAAGCAGGATGATCAGTTGAGCCCAGGAGTAGGAGGCCAGCCTGGGCAACGTAGCAAGACCCTGTCTCAAAAAGTTTAAGTTATTTTGATTGTTTTATAATTAGCAATAAGAAAGAGATTCAGGATGCCAAAGAGTTTTTCTACAATACCTTTTATTTATTTCATTTGTTATTTTAATATGAAATATCTAACAAATTTGCCTGTCATCCTTGCCCAACAGCCATACTAATCTTCTGTGTATCATTTCAGTTTTGGTGTATGTGCTGCCACAGTGTTCCACAGTGCCTGTTATTTTCTAGCGAAGGCAATAGAAAATGACTGTTAATCTGAGAAAGAGAGCTCAATAAAATAACACCCTTTTCCTCATCTGAGTCCTAAAATAAGATACCAGATAAAGGTAGATGGGGCCAAACTATCACCTTTATTACTAAAAATTTCCTTTAACAGCTTCAACATAATTTTGCATTATGTAAA